CTCTTTCCTTTTATAACCAAACCTTGAGAAATAGTGAACACTCATCAGCGTTTCCTCAGGCTGACTCATTTCCTTTACACTTGCAGGCACCTTTCTGTCCTGATGAAACTGCGCTCCTGACAGTCTCCAGACTCCTCTTAGTCACGAAGTCCGTCGGCGTTTTCTGTCTTTGCCCTCCTTTACATCTGTGCATTTGGCCTTGCACAGGGCTCGATTCCTAAAACTGCCCCCCTCCTTGTCCCCAGCACTCTATCCAAGGTCTCCTCTGATGAATCTTCTCCGTGCTGGTGAGCGCATTTCAGTCTCATGGCTTCACCTGGTCGGTGACTCCCCATAGTGGTGACTATGCTTGAGCTCTGGCCCCATGTCTTCAGCCGGCTTTCCTCCTGTGAAGTTGGCCAGTGCTCCAACCCAATGGCCTGAAGCTGAAGCTGGTCGGACTACCGTCCTTCTCAAATCTTCTGTGTTGCTTGGCTTTGCTCGTGGCCCTGTCATTCCTTTTGTCACTCAGGGGCCAGTTGCAGGGCTAGTCGTTAACTAAGCTTTCTTTGAATTTATCAGTGTAGAACCTTACTCCCTTTACCCAGAAATGTGATAATTGGTCTTCCTGTCAGGATTGCTCTCCCTGTTTTCATTCTCTCTGCTTTTCCATTTCGTCTACACCCTACTGTTGGTTTACTCTGTTCAAAGCAGAAAGCCCTCCCCGGGCTCCTTTTGCCTACAGAATGAGCCTGCATATTTCTGGTTAGTTCTAGAGAGCCCTCAGCAGTCTGGCCTCCATTTTTCATTTTGACTCATCTCTTTTCTTTTTTTCTAGAATTATTTTATTCAACATTATTTATTTATTTATTTTAGTTTAACCAGAGAGGGATAGAGTGAGAGAATGAGAGAGAGAGAAAGTGAGAAGGCAAGCTGCCAGGTCTGGGGTTGAACTGCTGTCAGCTCTGTGGGAGTCCAATGCCCTTAACCACCATACCACCTGCTGTCCCCTATTTTTTTTTTTTTTGGAGGTTTTTGCTATAGGGTGCGTGCACTCACCAGATAGACAGAGAGAGAGAGACAGAAAGAGAGAAATCACCCCCCGGGGGGGATGGCCATGCCGCAATCCCTTCTCCTCCATTCTCCTCTCAGGATCTTGGGCACGCATGCACATGCGCCTGGCGTGAGTTTTAAGCCACCGGGTCCGGGATGCAAACCGCAGTCAACTACATGGGAGTCCAGCGACATAGCCATTACGCTAACTGCTGGTCCCAACTGTCCCCTATTTTTACTTATCTTTGACTTCTCTTCAATACCCTGCTCCAGGGACCAGCAGTTAGCGTAATGGCTATGTCGCTGGACTCCCATGTAGTTGACTGCGGTTTGCATCCCGGACCCGGTGGCTTAAAACTCACGCCAGGCGCATGTGCATGCGTGCCCAAGATCCTGAGAGGAGAATGGAGGAGAAGGGATTGCTACGTGGCCATCCCTCCTGGGGGGTGATTTCTCGCTTTCTGTCTCTATGTCTCTGTCTGTCTGGCTAGTGCATGCGTCCTATAGCAAAAAAAAAAAAAAAAAAGAAAAGAAAATCTCTCTCTCTCAAAAAAAACAAAAACAAAAAACCCTGCTCCAGCTAGGTGAAACTATGTTAGGCAAATCCTATTGGCTCTGTCTTCAAAATACCCCTGAACTTGCCATAGGGTTGTTGAAAAAGTCGTGACTAATTTTTCATAGAAAAACATACAAGGATGTGTCATGACTTTTCTGACGACCCAGTACTTCTCATCATCTCCACCGTAGCTGCCCCAGTCGAAGCTGTCATAATTTCCTGTATTGCTGCAGTTGCCTGGTGCCTGGTTCATTATCCCAAGCTGCTTTTCCTCCTAGAGTCAGTTTTCTATTCAGTAGATAAAAAGAAACATAGTGTGGGACAGCAGATGGCATAATGGTTATATCACTGGACTCCCATGTCGTCGACTGCAGTTCAAGTCCTGGACCTGGTAGCTTAAAACTCATGCCAGGCAGGGACCAGCAGTTAGTGTAATGGCTATGTCGCTGGACTCCCACGTAATCAACTACGGTTCGAGTCCCGGACCCGGTGGCTTAAAACTCAAGCCAGGTGCATGTGCATGTGTGCCCAAGATCCCGAGAGGAGAACGGAGAAGAAGGGATTGCCATGTGGCCATTCCCCCAGGGAGTGATTTCTTGTTTTCTGTCTCTCTCTGTCTGTCTGGCGAGCGTACGTGCCCTATAGCAAAAACAAAACAAAACAAAACAAAACCGAAAAAAAAAAAAAAACTCTACAAAACACACACACACAAAACCAAAAAACTCATGCCAGGCACATCTGCGTGCATGCCCAATCCTGAGAAGATAGTGGAGGAGAAGGGAGTGTGGTGCAGGCATCCCCCGTGGGGGTGATTTCTCGCTTTCTGTCTTTCTGGCGAGTGCACACACCTTATAGCGAAAATCTCTCTTAAAAAAAATAAAGACATAGCGTGTCATTTCCTGTGTTTATAGCTCTCCAGTGGCTTCCACCTTTACCCTCAGAACAAAGTCACATCAACTATGACAACAGGCCCCTGCGGGATTCGTCTCAGTGGTTCTCAAGCGGTAGGTCCTGCCTTTTCCTGTCACCAGCAGGAGTGTCTGGAACTTAATGGTGACTTCTTGGTTACTGGTGTGATACTATCGGCATTCAGCGACTCCAGGGCTTTGACGCTAAAGGGGAAGGCCACCGTGTTATCCTTTCCCAAGTGCCGATCGCGCCCCTGTGGGAAAACTCATCCTACCTCTGTCCATCCCCAGCAGCATCTCTTCCCTCTCTCTGACCCACTCGTTCTCTTCCTATGACACTGGCCTTCCCTCGGGTCATCAGGA